AGTCATATACTTAAAAAGCATTTAAAAACTTATAAACCATGACATTTAAACATACATAATGCACCAAATAATTATTCATTTTTTAACGTGTATAATTAAAAATTTAACAGATATAGTTTTGAATTTTTAATTGATCTATAAAACTACAATATTATGAAAACGTAATTTTCCCATATTAAGCAGATACATGCTTGTTTCATTTCTAAGAGGAAAACATAATGTGTCAACTAGCAAATGTAGTATAATGACAGGTATACAGGACACTTATAAACACAAATTCTTAAAACAAGGCTTAATCTTTTTGTCATCAATGAGCTCAGTTCACATTTTAGTTATGCATCAAAGTGGGCAAAAATGAACACGGCTTGCATTACAAATTTATGACTGACAGATATCGTGTATTAGGGAAGAGAGAACAGCCTAATCTCGCAACTGCCGAAAAGTTAAAATTAGGCAATGAAAATTTTCAACATTTCTGTTTATAAAGAATTATATATAAATTTAATACACTAACATTAAGAACTGTTTTCTACATGGGGGGGGAGGGAAGAAAATCTTCCCCAGAAGATAAAAAAAGTATTAGGAAAATCCATTAAATGAATGCATAGAGAGATAATTGTAGTTTGTTAACTGCTAACAAATAACAAGCCACTTACAATAAGCTTATTTTAAGCAGGTACTTGTAGATGTATGAATTTTCTAATTATCTACATCAGACTGTCAAATAACTTTTTGACTCTTAGCAATATTTTAAACAGATAACATTGAGATTGTGCTGGAAATATATAAAAAAATAATTTAACTATGAATAGTCATAATTGACTCAAAAAGCTGTTTGTTTCATCAGATACAGCTAAACAAATGCAGCTTATCTGCTTAATGACAGGAATGCCTTTGTGAGGGACTTTTTTAAGTTTAACTGACTGACACTTATGTTACACAAGAAACACCATAAAAATACCAGTGTAGCCAACTCATTTGCAAGAATTTAAATCCAGTCAAACCACTACAATAAGTGGATTGGCTATCCTTGATCTTGTTTAATAAAAGGTTTATATTGTCATGAGTAAGGGTGATTTAATATGAAAAATAAAAAATACTTGCAATAAAATTTACACAAAAATAGGCTTCACTCATGAACAAGTTTCGAACAATTTCGAATCTTTAATGCATTACAAAATTACTCATTTCTAAATATTTTTCTAAAGTTTTGTTGATTGCGAATAATTTCAATTTTCATAAAAAGCATGTATCAAAAAAGGGGAAGGGTCAAAAATTGTAAATATAGTAAATTAATTTTAAATGATATGAAATATAATTTAAACACTGACTGTATGTTTGTTTCCACTAAAATTTCAAATTCTGGGAGAAAAAAAAAAAAAAAAAATTCCTTCTTTTAAATCAGATTACTGATTAAATAAAAGTCTGGGAAAATATTCAAAACAGAGCCACAAAACAGTGGCAGACTTACAGATACTTGATTACTACTAACCCACTTTTCATCATTGCACACTTACCAATGAGCATTACTTTTCATTCAGATTATATCTGAGAGCTTAAAGAATATATTAACATGCTAGTTCATTCTAAATAAGGACGGTTGCAGTTACAAGTATAAAAATATTTACAATAGTATCTTAGGACTGAATATGCTGGAAATACATGATGCACAAAACACTACAAGAAACAATATTTAAATTAAAATTCTTCAAAAACTGGATTGATGTCCCCCCCTGTCTCCTTTCTTTTTTAGTCATTAAACAAATATTTTCAAAAAAATTTTAAATTTAAAAAAAAGGGGGGGGGGAAACGAATGAAGGCAAAAGAAATTCCTTTAAAAACGCTTAATGAAAAGAAATAAAAACTAAATAGAATTATTCTAAAAGTTAACATGTACTTATCAGATAGCCCACACTCTAAATATACATATATATAAATTAAGAAATTTAGAACTAATATTTGACAAAGACCAATTGGATTATCTGTTTAAAAGTAAGCATTCTGATTTAAAATTCTTCACTGAAGTATTTTGTTTTTTCACATTCGGTTTCAGTTTTAATAAAATAGAATTCTCTTTTTTTTAACGTTTTTCTATTAGTTTGTTTTTTCCCTTGCTTTGGGGAATGGCCAGAGTCTTTGGGCGAATTATTATAATTAAAATACATTGAAATGGTTCATCAGCTAATTCTGGATACAGAAAAGCAGAGATTTTTATAGAAAGGAGAATTTAATTGATTTCAATGTTCCTCTTCTGTTTTTGTTCATATTTCTTTAAATTTCATCAATTTTTTTAATGAGGTTTTGCTTGTTTAAGTAATAGTAAGTGTTCAGTCATTCTTAAAACATCTAACTTTTTAAATTTTTACATTCTATAATATGATCCAAAGATATTCATTACAGAAAAACACAGGCCAAATAGTTTTTCGTGAGAAGATTTATAAAGCAACAATACTAAACTGTCTACCAACAAATTATATGTCTTGCTTTTATTACAAACCACTGTTATTTTTAAATTAAGCATTATCAATAAAAATTTTTAAAGAAGTTTATCTCAGTAAACAAAGATTTCATTCTTTGTTTACTGAGATAATTAGCTGAGTTAAAATAAATTGATGATAAAACTATGTTTTCTCATTAGAAGTATCAAGTTGGAGCTTATCTTTTTAGAGAAACAAGAGATCTGGCAAAAGTAATCATAAAGTTACAAATTTTGAAAAGTCTTTCTTTTATTACATGCACCCAAATGTAAAGCAATGGAAGCTCTAGAAAAATTAAACAGATTCTATGAAAATGACGACAGATAAATAAAAGTCCCATCCAACTAAATGGTCATTTAATTGAAAGGGATTTTTATGAGATGTACAAAAATGACACACAGAGCTAGAAAGATACTTTGTGTTTTTCAATAAGGAAGTGATCTAAAATAGAATTCAGGACATACATTTAAAAATTAAACGATTTTTCATAAATACAATTTCAATTATTTTACTCAAATAATTACTTAAATACTTAAATAATAACACAGTCATTTAATATTGCTAATATCAAAAGGCGTAGCTTTGTTTTGGAGATTTCTTTTCAATTCTTACTACTCATTAAATTTTCTACTAAATGTTTTGTTATTTTCTCAAATTCAGAATTTGATTAATTTAAATCATAGTTAATTTCAGCCACACAGACAAAATATATACAAAATACCAAATAACTTACAAATACATAACCACATGTACATATAGAATCATCAGACAGCAATTAACTTTATAGCAGGCAAGATTTTGTGAACATTACAGAATTTTTAAAGAATTTTCCGACTGTCATATTTTTACACAAATATCAAATACGTTCATGGAATTTCCACTATTTTTACAAATTTTATGGAATTTTCTAAAGTATCACAAATCTTAGACACTCTCATTAGTGTTAGATAAATGTTGGAATTTAGACTTTCTCCTAATTACTTTTATTATAAATGCTGGATTATTTTTATACTTAAATAATTTTTATACTATTTTCAGATAGAATTTCTGGAAAAACAAAAATACACTGCAAATTCTGTTTTAACTTTTGCAGACTTTTAACACACTTAAATAATTCTGATGCAGAATCATCATTTTTTTAAATGACGACAGATAAATAAAATTCCCATCCAACTAAATGGTCATTTAATTGAAAGGGATTTTTATGAGATGTACAAAAATGACACACAGAGCTAGAAAGATACTTTGTGTTTTTCAATAAGGAAGTGATCTAAAATAGAATTCAGGACATACATTTAAAAATTAAACGATTTTTCATAAATACAATTTCAATTATTTTACTTAAATAATTTTAAGTATTAAACATATCATATAATGTGCTATAACAGTTAGTGGTTTTAAATGAAAATTGAATAAATATAAAATTATGTGAAATTTATATATTAAGTTTACTATATTTAATTTGTAAATTATCTGTACTGCATACATAAGTTTTTTTTTTAAATGGTATAAAAATTTATAGTTAATAATAGAAAAATACATTTCACAAATTTTACAGTTTCATTTTGGAGAATCAATGAAATATAGTGTTTCATTATTTCTGTAGGTTAACTGCAATATTATTATATATGACAAAAATCCATAATTTTGGAATATGGAAAATTTTCATAACCTTCTTAAATATATTATGTTTGCTTATAAGTATTTTCTGCATTCTTTCAAGAAAATAATAGTTTAGCTATATTTATCATATGATTTATGCATTAGTTAGTGTATTTATTACATTAGTTTTTATATACATACTTACTAATAATTGATAATTTGATACTGAAAGTAAACAGATTTTGATAATTTTATGTTTTATAAGCTATTTATTTTACAATATTTCAACCCAGACACATTTTAATTGATATTCAATTAAGATAATTCTCAAGATAAATACTGCATGACTGGTGTGATGAGTACGTAAGTCTACAATTCTGAAAAAACTTACCAGAATCCCAAAAGCTTATTATTTTGACAATTTAACAATTACTCAGCTTAATCATGCGTATTTCTATTTTTCTTTATTATTTGCACAGATGAAAACTAAAAAGGGGGGGGAATGTGATGTCCACCTTTTCTGAAGGGGAGAATTAAGAAAGGTAAAAATTAACAGGTTTTTATAAATAAATTAAAAGATGTACTAACATTTCTGTAACATAAGTTTTAAATACATGATTTACTGTTTTTAGTTCTTATTTCCATATCATACATTACCATCCATATGCTAGACTTACACATAAAATATTTACTTATTTCTTTACAAATGCCCGATTTTCCACACTTAAAACATTAGTTGCACATAAATATCTTCTTTAGCAACATAATTTAAATCTGGAGAATCTTTATCACTAGTAAACCTACAAAGAATAAATTTTAAGAGACTCTATAAAAGATGAGTCATTAAAAAGGATTCAAAGAAAAAGTAAAAAGGTTTAAGTCTAACAAAGTAAGGAACGCAAGTAAAGACAATAAATACACTCCTGTTCAAATCCTCAAATTTATATCAGTATGGCATTACAATGGAGCGACACTTTAAAACATCTTTTATAACTAAGTGAAATAAGTATTTTAAACACTTTAAAAGTATATTTACTTATTTCAGAAGGGGAGGAGAAGTTTAAAAAATATAAATATCAGCAATCAATATTCTAATGTGATAGTCAATAACTTGTTTTCTAACAGAACTCCATTACTCAGTTCTGATCAACTCTAGTACAATACTTAGAACTTTTTTCACAGTAATCTTCATTTTGATCAACAAGTTTCTCTCCTTATACAAAAACACCGAAAATTAACTATGCACAAAAGAAATATTCACATTTTACAGCTTGAGCTCTATGACTCTAATAAGAAATGCATGAAATATTTCTTTTAACTTTATTTCATTCTTTTATAAATGAAAAAATATATATATAAATTCCAGTCACCTATAAAAACTTAATGTTTTTAACATAAATTACTAGTTTCATATTTAAATGCAGCATCATGAGAAATATTATTTGTTATAAGAATTTGTATGACTAAAGAATGTTCTTTATACTATAATAAAAAATTTGACAGATTACATGAAAATAAATTTGCTTTGATAATCCATAACAAATTTTTACTCCTGTAGCGAGAAGGAGCATTTAGAATGAAAATCGCACATTGGGGATGAATTAATACCTTAGAATTAAACAAAAGAAAAGAGACAATACAACTCATTCAGAAATGGAAGAACATATTTTGGTCTCTTGCATTATCCATCCAAACCTCACACAAAATCGACAATCGTTGGTGACTAATTTCTCACCAACATAAAACACGAAAATCAGCAGCCATTTTACAAAATCGTAGTGCTTTTCCTAGTCTTGTGTCCATGTGCACAGTAGTCTGTGCAAAATTCTCAGCATTCCAGAGCAATTTGGTACTATTCTCCAAGTACACATCCACATGTTTTAACTTTGAAAAAAATCAGAGAACAGCACAAATCAGCTTTATGGAATGTGTATATTCCTACACTCTTTAGTATTAGGGAAAATGCCATATTTCTGAAAAAATGCAACACTTCCTTTTTTATTATCGGGCAAATTCTAAAGTGGCCACTGAATTTCAAAACTGTGTGAATTACCACCATCACAAAGACGACGACATCACGAGTGGTTGCCACGTAAATACATTTCTGGGTTATCTACTTTAGCGACACAACGCTTTATTTAGTAATTCTTTTCAGGACTGGGTGGATAATATGATAAGACTTTATTCTTAAATACATAACAGTTACCATTCTGAATTAAGACTTTAAAAAAAATTTCAAATTTATTTTCATGGAGATTAATAATGGATTTTATTAGAGTGTAGACAAGAAGTATTTTAGATAGCTTTTAAAAATTAAAGTTTATTTCTTAATTACAGGAACATCATAGTCATTACATAATCACAGAATTTAATAATCATTATGATACGTCAGACATCTAAATAAATATAATGAAATTAAAAACCATAAAAATATAATAAAATAAAACTTAAAATTTCAACAAATGTATAAAAAACAATTATACGTAAGTTGGCATTTGAAGTGTTGCTCTGATTTGCAGTGAATCTTTTTCAACGGTCAGTACAACATCAACCACAGTAAACATCACTATCGTCTGCATAAACCCACTTGTTCTAACTGCATCCTTCCAGTACAAGTTCAATGTCGGAATTCCATTAGATCGTTTGTACTCTTTCCTCAGTAAAGGCAATTTATCACAGTAAACTCTTTTTATAATACCCATTTCTAAAATAAGACAATCAAATGAATGATCCATGACTCCCATTACCATAGCTTTGGCAGGAACAGAGGCAAGTTCACGTATAAATGCAGCAAGAAATAATTCTGAACTAAGTTCACTAACTCTCTTTGCATTATATTTTTTATCATTACAATGCACGGCACATCGTTGTAATACCTCTGCAGTAACATCAGGAGTAGAATTATAAAGGAGAGCAGCACCTAGAAGACGGTGAACAATTATATCAGGATAACGTCTAATAGGGGAAGTAAAATGAGTGTAAAGAGGAACATTCAGGGCATAGTGATGGAATTTTGCAGGATCCGATAAAAATCCACTACAAAAATAAAGTGCACAGTTCATTGGCTTTGAACACAAACTTTGGAGCAATAAGCATTTAGATCTAGAAAAAAAGTCATCGCCCGCGTGATATGCAATTGAGCTTTGAAGTGCACCACTACTACTTGCATCAAGATAAACACCCATGGCTCTACACATAGAAACAATATCTTGCATTGGTTTCAGCTGAGGTGGAGGATGCCTCCGAAGGAGGGCTATTGATGGAAAAGTATTATATATTTTAGTTGCAACAGACATATTTGCTAGCAACATAAATTCTTCAATTAATTTGTTACTATCTTTCTGAACAAAAACATTAAATCCAGATGGTAAACCAGTTTCTGAGTCGAGAGTAAATTGTAACTTAACCTGATCTAGTCTCAGAGCGCCTTCATGAAATCGTTTCTCCCGAAGCTTAACAGCTAAAGAATGAAGTTCATTAACACGTTTTATAATATCACATATGGTAAAACCACCATAAATCCTGGGATGCTGTTGAGCATCCCATATCCTAGTAGGATTTTCAATCATATCTTGAGCATGTTCATAACTCAGTTTTATACACGAATTAATAATTGAACGACTAAAGCACTCATTAAGTATCTCACCATCTGGTGACAATTCCCAAATTACCGAAAACGTGAGTCGATCTTTTCCGGGATTTAAACTACATAAGTCATCACATAGCCTACGAGGCAGCATCGGAACAACTTTTTGTACCAAGTACACACTAGTAGAACGACTTCTTGCAACATCATCAAGGATGGATCCCTCTTTTACAAAATATGTTACATCAGCTATGTGTACACCTACCTTATAATTTCCATTATCTAAAAGAGTACATGAAACAGCATCGTCCATATCACGAGCAGTTGCCGGATCGATAGTGAAAACGCATTCATGGCGAAAGTCCTGTCTATACTTTATTTCTTTAGCCGGTATTTCCCATGTTTCTTCTTCAGGAAGGATATTCAAAACTTCAAGTGGGAAATCTTCACAATCAATATCATTTTCAAATAATATACCTTCAGTTTCAACTTCTATGTCTCCAGTATTACCAAGACTTCTGACTAATGTTCCACGCGCAAATGTAGAGCTGTCATTCCATTCAGAAATCTTTGCTAAAAATAACACATTTGCATAATCAAATGGTCTGTGATAAAAATTCTGAGGACAATCAGACATCGGTACCATAATCCTAGGTACGCGACTATCATTCGGAGAAAACAGTGCCCATTTTGGATTCTTGTCAGGACACAATTTTAAACGTCCAGCTGCTAAACATGAATGTTTTCGCTCCAAGATATGAACTACTTTGCCAGTTTTTTGTATAAATCGTTCCCATTCAGGGTGTTTCATTACTTCTTCTACTGTTAAATTCTGCATATCAAAATTTATTTTAGTTTGTTGTATATTATCATTTAAAGTTTCAGTTGTTTTGGTAATTTTTTTCTTTTTTTTTCGATTTTTAGACTTTTTTTTGTTGCATTGGGCAATACAAGGTTGGTCTACATTTTTTAATTTAGCAGTCAAATGGTAATCATTAACAGATGATGGATACATAATGACAGTTTCTTCAGAAGAAACAGGCTCATCAGGAAAAGATATTTTAGATAAAGCAGAACAAATAACAGACTCTGAATTTACCTCAACTGAAGACAAGGGAGGAATTGTTTTATTATATTGCAATCTACACTCATATTCTATAGATGTTTCTTTATGAATAGTAGCATTGGGAACTGCAACAAATCCAGTGAAATCAGAGCTATTATATTGAGTCAATAAACTCTCATTATGATAACTAAAATCTGCATTATTATTTACCGCATCTTGCTGACAAGCTAAAAAAGCGGCATCTTCTAACATTTGATCTAGATGTTCACTAGGTGTACTTCCAATGCTTGCAGAATCAGTAAATTCATCACCAGAAAGGTCTCCAGGTGCCACAACAATTCCATCAATGCTGCTACTACTATCACAGTTCCTTTCATCTTTATAAAATAGGTTTTCATGTTCTACAATAGAATGCCCATCAATATTTAGAAGCTCTTCAGGAGACACAATTATATTAACAGAAGTCTCGTTACTCTGCCAAGATTCAGTAGCATCTTGATATGACTTCATTTCTAATTTGAATGCGCCAATCTCACTCATATTATAGGGGGTATATGACATTTTCTCAGTTGCTACTGATCTCCCGTCAGATGTAATACCTTTATCATGCTCTGTCAGAATATTCAAATGACCATTTTCTTTTGTGAATGAAACACACTGTCCACCGTCTTCAGAATTACACTGCTGCACTGGTAATACATCATCTAAGCAGTCTTCTGAAGATTCTTGTGAATAGGAAGTAGTACTACTTTTTTGACTACTAGATCCCTTAAAATGCTTTTTACACTTACTTTTTACTTTACTTTTAGATTTTGAAAATTCATTTTTACCTACAGAAATATCCTCTAACTGTTGCGTAAGCTTATCGACTCCTAAAATCTCTAGAGTATCAGGTAATCTTTTCCCGCAAGTACTATCCCAGGAATTTGCAGACAAAGGTCGGTACTTCACGAATTTATCAGGTGTGTGAACTTTACAAGGAGTTGATGGAGTAATGGGTTCACAAACAGCTTCAAATACACTGTCAGCACATTTTTCTTGGTAATCTTTAATAGCATCACAAAGAACTTTCCATTCCTGTTTTGGATTTATTTGAACAACAACAATATCACCATTGAGAGCTCTATTCCTATCCTTCATGCCACCAATATAAATATCCATTTTCCCATCAGGAGCATTTACATAAGCATCTTCATAATTTCTAGGATTAATTCGTAGAGCTCCTTCTATAAACTCTCCTCGTTTAAGACCTTGCTGTACTTGAAAGAGTGGTATATAAGGTTCAAATTTTGGACTTTTAGAAGAGCCTACTTTTTTAACAGCAGGTTTATTTACACCCTTATAATCAGGTGTTTTTGAACGAAATTTATTTTGCTTCTTATCGATGTCAGGACTTCTTGTTTCTGATAATGCACTATTCAGAGGTAAAGGATTTACATCTTTAAGCTCTGAAGAATTACTTGGCACAAATATTCTCCTATTTTGTTTAATTTTTCTCATATTATCAGATGAATTCATTTTAGCTGAGAAGTCAGAACATAAATCACTTGCTTCAGAGGTAGAAAACTTTCTCAAAGTTTTTGTTTGCTTTTCAGATAGACCAGCTATTTCAAAAGCTGGATCCGTAGTAGTCAGTTCTAACATTTCAAACACTTTTTTGCGTCCTCTATGTTTCACGCTTTTAGGGTCAGGTGATTTATCCACAACAGTGATAGTCTCAGATTTTGTCTTTGATATAGATGATTTCTTTTTTTTCACTGCACCTCCTTCTCTAGCCTTCTGTTTCAGTTCAGGTACTGTAGCCTCAAGTTTAAATTTTCTATCATAAGTTTCATTCTGGACATCAACAGTGTGCATCACTTTTGCAGGTTCATCCATTCCAAGCACTGCTGGTGAACATCTGTTTGTTTCCTAAAACATATAGGAAAAACATTAGTTCGAACATTTTTAATACTTTTATAAAAATACAGTTAATAAGGAAATACTTTGTCATCAGGGTTGCCATTCAAACAGGAGAATGAAATTCCCTGACTTTTCCAGGTGTGTTTCAAGAAAATTCCAGTCTATCCGCGTAATGTACGTTGGCTGTGCTAAGAGGTAAATTAAGTATGGTATTACTCGTATTGTGTAGCAAATTCACTTAATTATTCAATAAATCCCAGAGGACATTTATTCTTAATTATTCTTGGTATACTTTGTTTGATAATTTTGTTTAGTTTTCCACTTAAGAAACTTAATAAAATTTAAGATATATATATTGGATAACAAATGTATGTTTTATTTAATTATTACTCATGATCATCACCAGTTCAACACGAGGCTAATCCGGTCCTTATAAATCACAACACAATGCTAAATAGTTAGGTTAGATTTTAGGTAAATTTAATTTGCGTGAGGTATGTTCTTAAAACCTTAACACTTGAAAACACAAATATAATTATAATAGTTGTTGTTTTCTCCACTGAAGATTGAGATTAGAATCTTCCCAATCTGGAATAAAATAAGGCTTTTTTTGCAGACATTCTGCAGCTAAACGAACAAAAGAAATCTATTTTAATAAATTGAGGTATTTTATATTTATTTTGCAGCATACATAAGGAAAAAATATGTGCATTAAATTTCGTGATGGTATGTCATCATACTGCTATAATTAATTTCAGGATTATGCCAGAGAAAATTTCCTGAAATTTGGAAATATTATTTACTAATAATAAATAAATTTAGAGGGAAGAAGCAACATTAAATTATATGAATAACATAAAAATAATTACTTAAAAATTGAATTAGAATAATCATCTATATTTTAGCGAATATAGTTATATTACATGGCTAGCCTAGATGACTGATTACTATTTTTTTATTTTACTGCAAAATGGCAAGGTATTTATTAAAAAGAAAAAAAAAAGGGTTTAAAAAGATTTTGCGGTAAAATTCTAGTATACGGTAAGGCTTTGGCACGATTTTGAAAATTGTCGCCAAGACCAAAATGACCCGTTTACTGCGCATCAAGATGTCGCCAAATCCCATTATTATTCTAACCAACAAAGAACGTCTATGTAAAGAAGAAAAGGTTCCATACAAGTAAAATGCTATTACGCCGCTAGAATGCGGAGGGAAAATTTGCCAAGGGATTTGGCGACGGAACCTGGCGGTCAGAATTATCCTCTCCGCGATGTGTACAGGAAATTGAGAAACACGTGTTAAGAAGAAACGCTCTTTGACAAAAAGAAAAGTACGAAAATCCGTTTTTAAATTATTGCGAAAAATCCAAGAAGAAACGTTTTATCAAAGGACGTTTCTTCTTGGATTTTTCGCAATAATTTTAAAAACGGATTTTTGTAGTTTTTTTTTTCTCTGAAAATAACTAATCCATGAATTAATTTACTTGCGCCAAAAAATATTTTCTTTTCCTTTACAGTTTAACCACTTGCGCTAAGACTAAACTTCACGGTTGCGGTGCCGTGCGCTACAATATAACAAGCAGTAAAGTGTCTCATTTACGCCGCTCCGCATCTGCGAGTGCAGTCCAGAGCTGTAACTCGAGAAATAAACAATCTCGTTGTTAGGCGACGTGTGCACCACGTTATTTTCATTTTTGCGATAAATGCTTATCGACGTGGTGTTCACGTCGCTCGCGGTTTGAGACAAAAGCATCTTGACGTGCGTGGCACGTCTTTTTAGCGCAAGTGGTTAAAGAAATTTTAAACGATATTCATTTTATGAACTCTTGATAACGTGACCTTCGAACTTCACCGGTTTCGAGCTTTGGTGACAGATATATCAGACATGCACAGCTGTTTCCCTCTATGATGGAATGGAGCCACAGCCACATCTGTTGCAGAGAGATTTTCCTTCTTTACAATACATATTCTTTGATTCTAACCTCCATAGTACCGTATACTTATGGTACCGCATGGTACCGTAGATTTAACCAATTTTGTTTTATACGAGAACATGGTACTTTCTTTAGTTCATGCACTTGCACATGCGATTTCTCTCGATTCTTGAGGTTACTGGAAACCAAAAGTTGTGGGAAACTTGCTTTGCCTTTCTAAAAGACAATCAAATTGGAGCGGCGTAAATTGGCTCTATGCCAGCTACCCGAATGAGGCACTCACGTGATACATAATTCGTCAAAAAAGTTACCTCTTCCGACGTCGGCGCAAAAATCGCTTTTTTTGGCGGGATCGTAGTATGAACTTCCCTGACTTTTCCACATTTTGACAAAAATACTTAAATTCCCTGACTTTTCCCGGTTTTCCAGGTAGCGTGGCAACCCTGTGTCATATGTAGCTTCTGAGGAAAAAGTACTCAAAATTGAAATTCTAATAAAATTTTTGATGCACTGTACTGTGCAAAAAGGTATAATAAGTACTTTTAAATTATAAAAGCCATGCCTGTTTTTATGTAATTTCTAATACCATCAAATTGATATAAAAATGATTCTTCAATTTAGAGTGATAGTACGGAATACTGCAGAAACTAAAAGGGTTTTAGAAAGAAATGTAACAATGAAAACAGATTCATTCTAAAGGGGAAAATGAATGGTATTATTACAACTCTTTTATTAAAAGGTCATTTTTAAAGCCACTTAAAGGTAATATAATTTTTAAAATGAAATTCATATTTCTTTATTTACGTTTATTCCTCATAGAAAATTAAACAATTTTTGCATAAAAAAATATTTTTAATATAGTTTAACAGATATTTAAAAAGTAAACATATAGAAAGCCCTACTATTTTACTGACAGTTCAATATTAAAAAATTCAGTGAGGAGTTAGTGTTAATACTGGATGGTGTATCAGAATAAAGATCATCATATAATTCAAGCATAATGAATACCCATTCATTATGCATATATTGCTACAGATGCTTTAAATATATTGGATGTGAAAATTAAAGTGGCAACTATAAATAGGCGCTTTATGTTAGTTTTATGAAATACAAGTAACCCTCATATAACACGATAGATAAGTTCCTAGAAAATGCCTCAGTGTAATCAACCAAGAACGCTTTTTTGGTGGAATGAGATCGCTTTCACTTTCGGAATTTCTTTCTTCATTTAAAGTTCTGGCATTTTCTTCTCTCTTTAAAAAATCTGTAATTTTATTTGCTTACTAGTTCTTACCGGGTCAATGTAAATTTCTCGATATGGAGGTAGACAGTTTCGCAACTCCCTTTTCAGTTTTCGGCTTATTTCAGCAGAAGAGTCTATACACAAGAAAGATGATTCGACAATTTCAACTAAGCTTAGGCCTTTTTAAAAATTTTTTTGGATGCAGTTTCCATCAAATCTGCTTCGTCAATTTCTTCTTCCGCTAATAAATCTTGAATGTCCTCAATAGCCATGTTGACAAAAAATTTCCTTTCGTTTGATTTAGCAAGTTTTAATGAGCCAACAATTTCATTTTCTGACTATTTACGCAAGTTTTCTATTTCCTCTGAAGAGGTACATATCTCCTTTTAACATGTATTTAGCGGTGATACTTTCAAACACAAAGATACGATGTCAATAGAGTTCTTGATTGAAAATGTCTTCCATTACATTAATTGACTCTGAATTGGTTACATCATGTCTAAAATCCACTGTAATCCTCTTCTTATGCAATATGTTTTAAAGGTATGAATAATATCTTGATCCAATTGATTAACGAAGTAGAGTTACGTGGTTGGAACAGTATTTTGACGTTGGGATGATTCAAATCTTACAGGTGACATGAAGCATTATCTAATAGCAATAGAGGCTTGAAGTTCAAATGCTCAGCGTCTCACACAAAACAATTTAAAAGCCAAGCTTCAGCTTCATAATCAACCAATGCAGATTCTCCTTGAATTCTTAAGCTATGAGTTGAAAGAAACTTTTTGAGATTTTCGAATCAACCTTTACTTGCCAAAAATCTGGGTTAACAGAGGATTCTCCTTGTTCTTTAAGGTGCTTGAAAATTTTGAGTGCTTTTTGTTTAATGATATTAACATCCAATGGAATTAATTTTTGACAGCTATTATCAATCCAAATGCTGAGTGCCTTTTCCATCTTCTCAATTATTGGTGCCCAGGGAGGCAAACTAGACGTTATGCGAATGTCAAAGATCCTGCAGCAACTGCATTTATTGTTTCTTTTTCATTTTTTTTTTTTAGTAGTCCGGACTGTTGCTTTATTCAAATTAAAACTTTATCCAATGTAAGATGCCTTTTCTCCTTTTAAACGACAGTCCGAAATTTGTATCTTTATTTCTAAAGAAATGAATTTCTTCTTAAACATTGTTTTTTACCTTTATCAGATATGTTTTGGGACTGAAACTGTCTTAAAGATAAAAAAAAAAGTAATTCTTTAACACACCATGGCTAGATGCATACTGAAAACCAATAGCATGAAACACTTTTGTTTTGAGACCACTGAGATGAGGATTCGAATTTTGGAAGCCGAACATGCATGTTGTGCATTTTAGGGCACTTATGACCTTATGTTGTTCACCTTCTGCGATAGTGAAGTTTTTTTCATTGTTACCTGGTGATTGTGCTCTCTTGAGATTGAGTATTGTTTCTGTTGTGCAATTGTGCTTTGAAGGTGATGGAAGGAAATGATTTTCCTCCGTTACCGATTAAGAATTTAACAGTCGCTCTCCACCACGTAGCTCGTCTCCCTCAGGACATTTGTTCTTACGGGTACTGGATCGTGGAAAACAACTGGCACAACTTATGAAACGAGGATTCTTAAGTGTTAACCTTTTCACGTGGGCTCTTCGCTCAGCGGTTAGGACAAATTTTTCAAATCAAGTCTTAACGACGAGGTGATTAGTGCTCTTTTGTTGGCAGGCAGAGAAACGGTCAGTATTTCTTTTCGGTCCAGTTTCAAAGCTCTAGGCGATAGAATAAAGGAAGTATTCTAATCACTTTCACACTGCAGATAAATGTATGCAGTTTTCCCATGAAACACAATTTATTGTTTTATTTTCAGAC